TGGAATTCGCCAAAATCTACACTTCCAACTTGGGTTGCCATACGTCTGGATTTTCCAGGACATTTTTAGAGATTTTCGCCCTCACGCGGGCCGAATACTGGCTATGCCTGGGAAATTCCAGACGTATGGCAACCCTAGATAACCAGGTAACAGGTAATACAAGTATCTCTGCTGCTGGCCACAGTAATAGAGGGCTACATGGACAAATAGTCTTACCTGATTTAAGGCCAATGTTACTTTGCCATCGGTGAAGAAATAGGAAGCAAAATGATGGGGGGGGGGGCTAAGGTGGCCCAGCTGCATTGTGCATGGAGATGAGAACAGAGAGGACCAGGGAGATGTATAGATGAGTGAGAGGGTGTATTTGACATATTTGTTCGAGAGAACCAGCCAAAGTTTTGACTATGTCCCTCTAGTATGAATTTACTTCCTTCTTGCTCCCAAGCAGATGAATGAAGTGATTCCACCTACATTGTGTTCCCAGGGTGACATCAACAGGATTTGGTGCCAGCCGAAGAAACCAGATGTCTCCACAACTCTTAGAGGAAACATGTGGAAATACAGATCCTCATATGTGCAGCCTCAGCTCTGACTCATAACCAACACATTCTTTTTAAAGGGGTACCCTGTACTTCGTGCTTCATGAATATACACGATTTCCTGCAGGGCTTGTACAACATTTCATGTGAGGAAGAAATTTTGTCCAGTGGACAACAAGTAATTATTTCAGATTGCTCCCTAGGGTCTGTTTCTTTCAATCTCCTTTTTTGTTTATAAATTCAGAGTGGGGGCATGTGTGCATGAGGCATATAAGGTAATATTCTGCTATGGATAATATTACACATTATTGAGAGGCATGCTGGAGAATATACTATATATTGCTCCAAAGCATAGCCTCTCTTGGAAACACCATTTCCTCTGCTGTGCTGCTTCAGATCAAGTTTTTTTTAAAGGCAACTTACAGCAGTTGAGTGACTTTAAATTGCCACTAGCCTTGTGCCAGTCCGAGCTGGTCAGAAATGGCTAGTACTGGGAGACCTTAATGTCACATTTGTTGCAGGCCTATTGGACTTGTATAGAGGACCATTGAATACAGATTGGGATAAATTTCATTTGAAGAGGTACGGTGACATGTAGAAAACATGTGAATGAATTCTGCTTATGCTCTGTGACCTTGAACTTCTCCCTTCCTGGCTTATGAGATGTAGCTTGGGAAGTTGACCCGGTGATTCCAGGGAGTAGTTAATGGGCCCAGAGAACAGAACAAACCTTGGTGACAGGTTGTGGTTAGCGAGAAAAGAGCTTTATCACAAGCCTAGTATGGGATAACATACCATGGCAAACATTGACTTAGAATAGCAGGCATGGAAGTAAACAAAATCTAGGGAGGAGCAAATTGCCTGTGAGCTCCTCTCTGAGATTCTATATGTTTGAGTGGTCCAGTAAGCCATTGTTTACTGTGATGTGCAAACTTGGCCAATTTGTGGTATGTGGTTAGGGATACATGTAGGCTTGGCAACAGTGCTTAAAGGCTATTCACAGACAGCCGTAATTCTGAAAGATCATTCACTGGCATTTTATGAGACAGTGTACTACCTCCACTGAGCAATGGCATTGAAAAGATATCAAGGGGTTTAGTTGCAACACAAACCCCAGAGGAACAAACAGTAGTGGCTGATGCCCATTGGGACTGGTGGGGCAGTATGCAGGGTGGCCAAAAGTAGATAGGGCGAGATCCAATGAGAGGTGGAGTCAACTGTTTCTAGTTTGTCCCTCTCTTCCTCCCGGCTGAGTTTTAGAACAGCAACAGCTGACAGGCAGTGCCACCCGCCAAACTGGGTGGAAGTAGGAAGGCAGGCAGGTGGGCACTGACTGAGAGCAGAATTAAACTGGTGGGCCAGTGCCTCATTTGCCCTAATAAACCAGACTCCACTGGGAACAAAGAAATGGGGGTATGTGCCTGGGCACAGTGCCTTATCCACAAGAAGTCACTGCTTAATGACTGACAGGTTCTCTTCTGAACAGGTCATATAGATGGTGGGACCAAAAAGAGGCCTCTGGGAGGGTCAAAGATGATGCCAGAGCAGGAAGAGAGCAGCACTTCCAAGATACTTCATATGCTTAATGCTGATAAAATGTCATTGCTCAGTCCCAAGTTTCTGTCTTTCATATCTGGTGTAAAGCATGGTTACAAATTTGGTTAGGTCTGCTACTCAGTGTTGCTCTAAATTCAGGTTAAGTTGTAAAGAATGAAGTGAAGCATAAAAGAAAAGCGGGACACGGATCTTTTAATTCCATTCTCCTGCTTGGCAGCCAATTTTTGTTATAACCCACAACTCTTACCTTTCTTCTCTCCAATTTAGGATCATACATCAACCGGGTCCCTAACTAGCTCACCCAATTCCCCTCCAGGCCTTGGAACCCTGCCATGATACAGCTTGTGCCAGTTCAGTCCTTCTCGGCGCTATAGCCGTTCCTCACAACCTTCACAGCCTTTTCTCTTTCTAGACGCTCCAAATACATGATCCCTTCCAACCAAAAATATATCATTGTTCAGATGACAGTGCACAGAGAAAATGCTGAAAAGAAACAGAGGTTTTTTTTCCCTAACAACCTGTTTTAGCAATAGTGGCACAAACAGGTTTTTCATTGCTGAAGTTAAAGTGGTCGTAGATCTCTTCATTACTTGGCATGGAAAGAAATACCTTTAAGTCTTCCACAGTGTGAGTGTAATTCTGAGCTTGTGAAGCTGCCTTCGGTCACAGCTCTGCCTCTCCCCTGGCTCTCACCAGTCATGCTTTGTACCCTCCTTGAGTGATTTTGCCTGGCTGTAGTGTGTCTTGGACCTTGGATAATCATGGGTTAGGGCCCATCCACATTTTGGTTTGTCCCGTGATGTCAGGGGCCCAAACCTTCTGCTTACTGCTGGATTGGAACAAGCTTCAATCTGCAGAAAACCTAACTGATGATCACCCCAATTTTGCAGTGAAGAGCAGCAGGATAAAGAAAAAAAAACCCTCGAACCCAGCATTGGATTCAAAGGACAACAAAAAAGCCACCATCTATGTCTCTTTGTTCTAGCCTGTCAATCTCAGCTCACTTGGAGTTCTGTCCCTCCTTCACATTCTCACAGCTAACTGATTCCAAGGACCTCGCCCCAGCCTTTGTTATTCAAAGCTGAAACCCTCAACCTGGCCTTTGCCTCTGCCCACTAGCACCCAGCAAAGAAGGAGCCCCACTCCTCCTTGCCTGGCATTTTTGCCTTCTGATGGTTTCCCACTAATGGCCTATCCAGCTAGCTTTGCCAAGCTGGCTTGGCTTCTTAGCTTAACAAAATCCAGAGGAGTTCCATGTTTGTCAAAGTTTAAAGAAACCTAATTCTAACTTTTACTAAATTCAGGAATTATGGGAAGGATCTGGCACCCAGGAATTTAGATGAATCTGCTCCATCCCCCAACATCATAAAATCCCCAGGAAATGGAGGGCCATATCATTGTGTGATTCACCCAGAAATACCCTGGGGCCTACCTGTGGGTCATAACCCACAGCTTGAAATACACATAGTTAAAGGATTTGACTGGATTTACTGGAACTAGTGGAAAGTAGCTTGACACACTTCCATGCTGGACAATTTCAGGCTGGCATTAAAATATTTACTGCCACCAAAACATCTGCATTCGTCTCTTATACAATTTTGCAAGGGGAAGAAACCTTGGCCTGCTTTTGGTTTTTGGTTTAAGTTTAACAAGCTGGGAGAGAGTGTGTTAAAAGGCAAGGGCTGGAGAATCAAAATGAGGTTTCTAATTCTCTGAGACATTTGAATAATATTTCCCACTATCTGCTAGCCCAGCTCAACTGAGTGATTAGTTCATCTCTCCACCGCACAGCATGCAAACGGTGCTGTCAGTGGAGCTAAGTCACTGGGAATCGATGATGGATCTTTGCAGGAGCTTCTGTTCAATCAATGTGTGCAAACATCTACTCCTCACTATGTATGTGGTAAACAATTTCAATGTATGTCTCCTAGTTTATTCAGTGTGTGTGTGTGTGTGTGTGTGTGTGTATGTATGTAGGTGTTGTGGGACCCAGGTAATTTCCCAGGCTGTATAATACTTAATTGAAATTATAAAAAAAACTACCCAAGTTCTTCCCCCCACCCCATTTTCTTTTTGTAAGTAATAATTGCAGTAGATGCTATAATTTAAGCACCAATTTCTGGAGTATTTAAATATTAATAAAGTGGTTGAAGAGGAGGCAGAATAAGGCATATATACATTTTTTTAAAAAGCCCTCCCTCAATTTCTCCTCTACAAAAAAATCCTTCTTCCTTAATTTCACCTCCTTTGGGATGGTTTGGGTCCTGAACTCATTGTGAGATCTTCAAACACATAATAAGAATTAATCACCATTAGTTCTCTATTTTAACAGCTGCTTGCTACCTCCATAACCCAGTGCAGCTGCAAACTTCTCTCCCTTTGCTGACATCATAATCCCATTACGGCTGCAAACTTACATACATAAAATGCAGATTTAAGCTTTTCGCTCGCTCGCTCTCACTCTAAAAAACAACTTCTACTTCTTAATTGCTTGAGCCTCTATCAGAAGCATAAAATCACTTCTCACTTGGCAGCTCATCTTCTTGTGGCTTGAAGTTTAGAAGCATGCTCCTTGGCTGCCTGTGTTATTAGTACACCCCAATGCAAGTCTGTAACCCGTCGCCTGAGATTCGGATGCCCACGCGTGGGCTGAATTATCCAGATGTGGCAGCTGTGCGTGTGTCAATTCCTTTCTCTTCACCTTCGAGCTATATCATTGCCATTGCTGTGAAACACATCACAAGTCTACTAAGGAGCTGGGACTGCCTGGGTGCTCTGCTTAAAGCTGTGGCATATCTATTTTCTGTTGAGTGGATACATGTAGTTCCTTGAAAAAGATCAGAGTGAGGCTTTTGCTTACAAAATGCGGTCTTTCCCTAGACTATGTTCAGCAAAAGATTTGTGGCAGGTGATAGCTCAGTGGGTAGAGTACTCTTAGTCTCAGGATTGTGGGTTTGAGCCCCACTTACGGCAAAAGATTCCTGCATTTCAGGGGGTTGGACTTAGGTGATCCTCAAGGTCCCTTCCAACTCCACAATTCTCTGATTCCATGAAAAGATGGAGACAAAAAGAAAACCATTGTGTGGGATCCTCAAAGCGATTTCACAGTCAAAAGAACTCAAAATGCCAAAACAATTCCATAGATACAAACCATTTTTAATATAACAAGCCACACACACACACCAATTAAATGCAATTCTGTATGTAAAGTCAATTTCAGTTCCAATCCAGATACAGACCTGGTTAAAGATCTCCACTTGCAAGGCTTATTGACAAGAGAAGGTCTCCTGTTTGTTGTTCCAAAGCTTGTTTGTTCTTCCAAAGTTGCCACCAACCTAAAGTTTAGAGAAGTTATGGTTGCTAAATGTGGGGGGTGGAGATACAAAGCAGTAGATTCCTTACTGCATCTACAGCCCTAATCAACCCTATTGTCCAAGACAGAAAGGGGGGGGGGGGTTCTTTTTTGTTGTTGCACTAGCTGTCAGGCTGGCCCAGTAGAAGAGTCTGAATTGGGCCCATCCCCAGAAGTGGGACACATCACCGTCTCTGCCCTATCCCTGAAGCATCCCATTTTGAGACCACACACTGCCTACTGCCAGTGACAAGACCACTGGAATGGAGAGCTAAAATAAACACATTAGGGTTTTGTTTTTGTTTTTTTAAAAAAAATCTAAGCTCCATTAGAGCAAAGATTATAAATATTAATATCAGAATGATTTTAAATAACAGTAGAATTGTGTTAAAATGCATGAAATGATTTTTAAAAAGTTATTGCCTGGTGCTGAAAGGACTTCAGGGTAGAGGCCAGGTAAAATTTCTCTAGGGAGAGCCTTGCACAACTGGGGGACTACCACTAAAAGGGCTCTCCCCTTTGCAACCACACATCATATGTCAGATTGGCAGGGAACTCAGAGCAGAGCCTCTGATGGTTATCTTAGGGCTTGGGTAGATGCATAATATTTGTATCAGCAATGCAGAGCAAATGTTCTCTGGCTGCAAGGCCTGTGCATACTCACCATGAAGTGAGTCCCAGTGAACAAAGAGGGGCTTTGCACTGGACTGGTCCAGCAGTCAGTCTTGACAGGAAGCTTTTGTAACTTGTCCAGCTCAAGTGATACAATTGACACCAACTTTGTTGAGCTTTTGGCACTGGGGAAAGAAGTGGGTTTCAGTGGAGTTTATTGTCAGATTGGATCGTTGTGCATCCTTTACTTTCTAGCAATTTTATTTGCTCTTATCTTCTCCTTTGTTTTTATGTATATGAATTCTACTTCTAATTGTTACCTACTCTGGATTTTTTTTTTTGCAATGAAGAACAGGATAGAAGTGTTTTAAATAAATGGTGTTATCTGTGTAGCAGCTAAAGCAGTTTATTAGGATCAGTGTGTCCACCTCATTTACATAATCATAATCATCATTACTTTTAAGAATGGTGTGCTTTTTAATGAATTCTCTGTTAAAAATAGGTTCCCCTCCCACCTTTTCTTTCCTAGTTTGGGATCTAGATTGTGGGGTCATTTTCTCCACCATTTCAATAGCTGTGTCTTGATTCTTTTAACTCCTAAACACTTAGGTTTGAGATAGATAATTATGTTGCTTAATAGTAAATTGCACTGCAACATGCCCAGAGGGATCTGAAATAAAAGGTATTTAAAAATCTACCATGTTAGAAAAGCAAGATAATTTCAACTAATGAGATTATCAAGGATAATCAGTTTACAAAAGCCCATTACGAACAGATTCATTGATGTCTTAAAACAGCAAAGAAGAATCCTATTTATTTTTTTAAATGAATTGCTTTTTCGAATGGAAATAGGCTGTTTTCCATTACTTTTTATTTGATGATTTTTGTAGCCCCATCTGCTGTCCATTTATGGAAATATCTGGATTAGGATTTTGTAAATTACATGTCTTCCAATTTAAAGTGGGCAATAAGTAAAATCTTGGATGCAATTTCCTATCAAACCAATGACGATGATAGTTTACACTGCCTTGGCTTGTGGTGTCATCCATACACACTGGAGCTCAATGCGGCTTTTGAACAGTTATGTATTGAATTGCAGCCTTGATCAGTTTCAGAGAACAGTTTTGCCAGACTAAATCCCCCTGGAAGCCAAAGATGATACCTAATATCTCCTTATAACATGGAAAATATTTTTATTATCCCTTTCTTATGGACACTACTCTAACAGAAAGCAATACCTGCATAATATTAAAGCACCTACCTAAGAAAATAAAGGAATGGGGAACTCTTGGGCCACTACAAATCCCATTTCCCATGAACATTGATCATGGTGCTTGGGGCTGAAACAGCTGGAAGAACAGATGCCCAACCCCAATCTAAGAGAAACCTTTTTGAGGGCCAATAGTCCCCTGCCCCGTCTTCTCCATTTGCTTAAACTGGACCTGCTAGTAAGTGACACCCAGGAAGTGTGTCTATGTGCATCTTTGGTGAGCCTGCTCACATATATATCCTGAGCACACACATGCATGCAGGTGCACACATACACCCCCCACATACACATATGCACATCATGAGCTCTCTGTCAGTGGAAACCAAGTCCCCCGCTGTCAGCGTTCATGCAGAGAGCGCCTTCTTTGCAATAGCTTTCCTCCAAAGTAAAGCAGAAGAAAGTCAAAGCATATATTGGGGACACCACCTGGAAGGAGTTGATCAGCTCCCTCAAACGAAATGCTAATGGATCGGTGACTCCTCCATGGCTCCAACCCATTCTACTCTTCGTAATATAGAAAGCACAGAGGAAGGGCACATCTGTGTGGGAAGAACCATGTTTGCATGCAAGACTGGATCAAGGGGGCAGATTAGCATGGCACGTGCACTTAAGCCCTAATATCTTCTGCGCTGTCAATTTTAGCTGATGCAGCTTTGTGCGCTAAGAGGCATGCACAAAACCGCAGCTGAAATAGCAGGCTTATCCGACAAGCCGTGAGGACCCAAATGGGAAGATCTGAACCACAGTGTCTCTTTGGTGTGCAAACTATGCAGGACTTACTGCATGTTGGGATGTTCACTTGCTAGCTGTTCCATGCAATTTTCAAGCCGCATCAGGGTAATTTGAAAGCTGCAGCAGCTGTACAGAAGTAGTCATGAGAACCTTGTTAAATTAGAGCTACAGTATGTGTGTGTGGTTTCTGGAGAGTGGAAAGCGAGAAGTTCTTTTCTCTTGTTTCCTCCCTCCTGAAACTTTTCTGTATAATAAAGGGAAGGGAGGTTTTTAATCTTATTGTTCATCTTTGTACCAGGACATGTGTTAGGGGTTTAAGCAGACCAATTCCCTCTTTTATGTCCTCCAATTCTCCTCACTATTTCCGGCTGAGGAAAGTCTTCAAGGACACCCCATGGGCCCTGGAAGCTACTGGTGAAGTACCCTGCTAACCTTGGCAGCAACGGCTAGTCAGTGTAGACCAAGGCTGGGTAACGTTTTTGGCTCAGGGGGCCAGATCCTTATCAGGATCTAGTCTCATGGACCAAATTTGACAGGTGGGCAGGGCTGCCCACCTGCCATTCACCTGATACCACAACGACATCAGTTGGTTAGTCACTTAGAAGTCCAGAAGCTGGAACTTTAAAGCACCACACACAGTTATTCCAGGAGGCCTTGGCTCTATCACCCATCAACTGATGGTCACTAGTACTGAATCCTGTTTTCCCTTGCCAATGCACAACTGGGAAGGCACTTTAAGGCAGCCACATCTCTTCCTGCCCCACACTTGACATCACATACAACGTCAAATGTGGGTAGTTGGGTGTGGTTTGGAGAAATTGGCCTCGTGGGTCAGATTTGAACCGCTGGCAAGCCATGTTTGGCCCACAAGCCAAGTTCCCCAACACCGATGTAGACAATATTAGTTGAAGGAGCAATGGTCTGGCTTGGTATAAAAGCGGCTTACTATAATAAGCATATTCTGCCATTTTATGGACCTCCGTTCTATTTGCAGGCTATGTTGATCAAGGGTGAGGAAGTTGTGGCCCTCAAGATGTTGGGCTGCAACTCCCACCATCCCAAACCATTTGTGTGCTAACCATTTGTGTCTAACAGTATCTGGAGGGCCACAGCTTTCCCAACCCCTGCTGTAGATGCTACTGGGGAGATCCTCTGCCACAAAAAAACACCACTTCAGTATTCTTTTATGATTTCTATGTCTTCTCTAATAAAAGTACCAGATTAGCTTCCTTCTGCTTAGAGACAATAAAAGGTGAATGAAAGATGTTGTGGTCCAATGAGAGCCGCAAAGCTTCTGAGATGTCACAGAGTGTGTGTAAATTCCCAGTCAGTTTAGATAACTATATTAACCAAAATATCCTACAACCATATTGGCTTATTCATACACTTATTATTTATGTAGGAGCTGCTCTACAATGGCACCGTTTTATTTATTTTAGCCCTGAGCGAGCGCGCTGCACGAGCATCTACTGCATGCCTATTAGCCTGGTTCACAGATGAAGGGTTGTTACAGTTCCTGAACATTTTCCTATCTCTTCATGATGATTTGAAAGGTGGCTCTCCTGACCTTCTGTAACCTAAAATGATTTCAAACTTGTCTAAATAATATACATGTTCTGTCTTCTTTTGATTGAATGATGAATAGCACTTAAGAGTGATTGATTGGAGGCCATTAACATGGCCAACGTGTTTAGAATGGATCACAATCTTCCCCTCGTCACCACGCTGTATCCTATGAATTTGTCCGGCGTCTCTTTATTTCTTTGTCTCTGGCCACTGCAGCATGTTAACTTCAGCCAATTGGCAAACAAGCAATCCCTCTGGCACAGGCACAAATGTCATTTCTTGGATTGTCCATTAAGGGGCTGGTGCAAGGGATATGTAGCTGATCCTTCTAAAAGAATAAGCACATCTTCAGGATGAAGCATTCTGTCTTCCTCATTCTCTCTCTCTCTCTGTCTGTGTGTGTGTGTGTGTGTGTAAAACCAGCATTTCTAATAATAGTTA